AAGAGTGTGGGGACCTACAGTTGCATACGTTCTTACCCCGGGTAAAAGCAAGCTAAGCTGCCGTGGCTGATCCCTCTTTTACCCTGATCTTTACCTACTATGTTACCACTCTTCATGATATGTATGTCTTCACTGCAGTGTACCCAGCTAGCCTAACCTGAGAGTAAGTATGTACACGGCAAAGATGCATTCAAGCCGTACCTATGCTGCTAACTCATTTACTGTGGTGCTTCACTGACTGGCACAAGGGAACATCTCATGGTTTCTGGTGGTTCTCCAAGCTATCCTTCACTATTAAAACATTATGGAAGGATGTCTCTGTCCTTCCTAATCCCCTGTAAAGAAATATTCTTAGCCCTCCAGCCCAATAATTCATTTCCATCTTGGCCCCTCTAGACTTCCATCCATGGCCTTCATTCCGGGTGGAAATGTATGAATCTAGCTCACATCTGTTGGAACTGTTGTCAGTACTGCAACTCGTATTTTAGCCATAATGTTGTACGGGGTACACCACCATCAGTCATATTTATTACCTCTGTAATTCTCATTTTATATTCTGTGAATTCGCCAGTCATCTTTGGACTAAATGGTGCTGCACTATGGAGGAATCAGCCCCACTCGCTTCCTAGCAACAAACAAATGACTAAATACTTTGTCCTTCTTTGGGTTTTGGAGCTATTCTTTCTATCCCCCTATTTGTGGAGCATACAAGCCAGTTGCTGTATTGGTGTTACTTACTGTTGGCTTCACTAAAGAGCAGTGCTTTGACCAAGGTCCTCCCCTGGGTCCAGGTTACTAAGAAACTATCTGTAAAAGTAGTGATTTTCTCATTAACAGGATTGCTCAGGGACGGGCGTCTCAGAAGTTTAGGACAAACACACCCATCTCAGGAATATCATGTTTCTCTTGAAATGAGGCTATTTGGTGTGGTTGGCCTGGTAGACAATCAGATTGGCCTGTCTTGGTCTTGCTTTCCTCCTGCCTTGCTTTGTGTGAATTAACAATGATGAAACCTGAGGCTCAGACTCCCTGCATGCTGCATCTATCTACCAGCTCATTAGGCAGCTTGTCTTGTCTATCTGGTCTATGGTTGCAGTTGCAAGACATAGGTGAAGAGGGCAAATAAGGCAACTTTTTCCAGGGATAAGAGTCCTCTTCATATCTCTACACCACTAAGGAATATACTTGTTATGGAAAGAATATGACAAACTGTTTATATTTAACTTGTGATAGACCACATTCAGCATGGGCGTTGCAGCATAAATACTAACACTTCCTAACAGTTGCTTTTGTGCAGAACACTTTTTAATTTTATTCTGCTGTGTTAAGTTTCTCATTTGTATTCACGCTATAACACTAAAGGATCTCATCATCTTGTCTCTGACTGCTGGCATATATATATCTCGCGCAGTGACTGATACCCGGTTTTGAGAAACGTACAAGGCAAAATCACTTCTCCATCTCTCTGTGTTAATAGAGGAACCTTGGGGCTATTATTTGAATAGGAGCCATTAAGGCTCTCTACAGCATACCTAAGACACTGGTTCATAAAAGGCAGAAAGAAGTTTAGCTTTATGATTTGCTTTAAAAAGACTTAAGATGCTTCAAGAGGAAACTTTCTATTTAAATATTGTGTGAGATAGCTGTCATTGTTTTATTAGCTGGAGAAATCCCAGGCAGCCTATTTCCATAGCCTGTAGAGGATTCACACCTGTTGGATTGGGGTGGACAATCATGAGCCTTGTACTGGCCATGAACTTGGGGATGAACTAAACAGGGCTGGGCACAATGTCACTTTTGTCCTTTCAACACGTGTTCACAGATAAGACAGTGTTAGGGCAACTCTGACCTAAGTCTGTCCTTGGTCAGCCTAGCAGAACAGCCAGCCACTCTAATTACAGAGGGCATGGCTTTCAATGCTCATATTAATTTCTCATTCAGGAATTATATTATGGAACAGGCAGATGAAGTGCTCATATGGGCACACAGATGCAGAGCTCCCTGAGCTGGGTGATGCCGACAGATTGTACTCATGCAACGAGCTTTCCCTGAAGGGAGCTGGCGAGGGGGTGGACTCTCCCCTGCTTTCTGGGTCCTTCTCCCTCCCTCATACCCGATAATCAGGGCCAGAAATTATTTATAAATCACTTAGAAAATCTATGGAAGAAATTGGCTTTACGGACGGCCAAGATGATGCTTGACAGAAGGGAAGGACGGGTGGCGTCCAGAAGAAAGGCTGGGATAGTTGTTCTTCTACCTGGCGTTCTTCTATAACCTCATTACTATGATACCCAAGTACTTCACGATCACAATGTAAGCATCCCTCTGGGAGATAAGGATAGGGAATTGGAGGCCTACAGAGACGAGGAGGCAGATCCGAAAAAAGGACCTAAGTGTCCAAATTCTGATCCTGAAACTCCATGCTCAACTTCTGGGTAAACTTAGGAGCATCTTACGTAAGTGCCTCAGCTGTAAAGCTACCTGATTGCCTAAAGTTTAGCTCCTGCACATCCCCGGAAACACCTTAGTCCTCACAGTACTGGTGAGTTGGTGCCTATTACATGCCTAAATTAGATCAGGACCTACCTCTTAGACCTTAAACAGATGGGTCCTGTATACCAATACCTATTGCAGGAAGGCCACACACAAAAGCAGTAGTTGGAACTGTCTTTGACACAACTGGAAGAGGAAGAGTCACCCCCTCTTCTCTTTATAAACTAGCTCAGTGGTTACAGCACTCTCTTGGGACATGGGAAATCCAGATGAATTCAAACCTCAGCCTGAGAGCGTTCAAACCCACATCTCCCACTTCCTCCCTGGAGGGTGCCCCAACGTATTGGGCTACAGGTTATTTGGGGTGGGAACTGGGAACTCTTCCTCTTGGAGGCTGTTACACTTTGCAGAAACGGGTTCAAGATTTATTGAACTAAGTGGAAAGAAAGAGAAAGAGGAAGACAGCATGAGTCGGTTGTGTAGTGGTTAGAGTATGAACGTGGGAGAAGGCACCCCTGGTTCCTAGTTCCTACTTCAAGGACTATTTAATGTAACATTTCTGTATTGCAATTGAATTGAAAGAGGTCAAACCAAGAAAATGTGGGGAGGGGTTCCCTGCAAGAAAAAGAAAATCAGTGAAAGAAGAACATGCTTTTGCTTTTGTCAAAAAGGGGTTTTTTTTTCAAATATGAGTTTTGTTGAAAAAATCCAACTTGAAAACTAGAACTTATTTGAGCTTTGATAATATCTGCCCCAAAAACTCTGGCTTCTTGGTTGCTGGAAACTGAAATATTTTCAGTTTTTCATGTTTCTGGGGTTCTTCCCCACCATCAAAAATCTGAAAATTGTGGAAGAAAATAGAATTTTTTACATCATTTTCTGCTCTTTCCCCAAAATATTTTCCATTTCCAAAAAATGTTTCAGTGGTAAGTTTCTGATTGATTTTGTAATGTGGTTCTGTTCTGCAAATTGATTCAACACCTCCAGAGATGACTGAGTGGTCCAAGTTCAGGCCTTACATATAACTGCTCTAAAATCAATAAAGTCACGCTGAGCATGACTTTATGCCAGTATGTTTTAAGAACGGGCCTTAACTGACTGATTTCTTCCACACTGAGGGAGGATGTCATTTTTCATCAACAGAGGTTGGTTCAGCTGTCAAGGACAAAAACACTTTGCAGGGGAAAAGAACAATATCACTTTTTAATCGTTGGTGTTAATCTGTTTTTTTGTAGGAAGTTGTGCTGAGAAGTGTTTTGTCGAGAAGTTCTGCCGAGAAACAAAGCTGGGCTGTGCACCTCTGCAGAGTTTCTACCAAAGTACATTGATAGGTTCAGAGCGGAAGAGTGACTGCTTGCCAAGGTTGGGTATAGCTGGGTATTTGAGATGCTTATCCTGTCAGCTCTTTCAAATATCAATCTACTGTTCTGCAAAAGCTGATTTCCTATCTGCTGCTTATGGGTCAGAACGGGGCGCATTCTGGCAGGAGAGGTTAAGCAACAGGAGAGAGAGAGGCCTGGATAGTCTCTCACTCAGGTGCCTTGACCAATGCTTCTCCTCTCCCCCACTCTCCCCACATCACGGTAGGCACAAGGGAACAGATAGGAAGAACATGCCACAGTGGGGCTGTGCAGAGATAGACAGGAGCAAAATATCTGTGTGGCCCCTAGGTGGGCTGGGAAATGTGGGTGGAGCCAGAGGTGGTTTTATGGGAGGAGCCAAGAGAAGAGGTGTTAAATGGCATGCTGCCCCACCGGAAGGATACCAATAGGTGGGTGGAGAGGTTACAGGGCTGCTTCATGCTGCTTCAACTTGTCCTTGTTTCTTTCTTCTCAAGAGGACAAAGTCTTTGTCCCTGTGTCAGTAGTATTCTCTTCGGGGTTATTGGAGCTTTGCCTGTTTCAGGACGAAGTGCATTGTTGAAGATCTATAGGATTAGTAGAGATCACTGACATCTCTTGAACAAAACAGGGGTTTTTATTTAGAAATAGGCTTTTACGGGGAGTGGGGGGAAGGTTTTGTGAAACTCAATGTTCCTAAAGTTTTCTTGAAAAAAATGTTCACGCATTTCAGTAGTTACAAAGCTATTTTTACCCAAATCTATTTTTTAATCCATAAAGAGTTTCAATGATTAATTTCATAACAGTTTTTGCTCACATTTACAATAAAAATTGCTACCAGTTGGAATAAAATCTTTGGCAAAAAATGCCGAAACTTTGTAAATCAGACCCATATTAAGTAACACAAAATGGAAGGAATTTGAAGTTATACCATATATATGTGTGTGTGTGTGTGTGTATATATACTGTATATATTGAGATATATGTGTGTGTATACTGTATATATATATTTATGTATCTGTGTGTGTGTGTATCTGTGTGTGTGTGTGTGTGTGTATACTGTATATATATTGGTATATCTATATGTGTGCGTGTCTGTGGGATGAAGTAGGTTGTTGCCTATGAAAGCTCATGCCCCTCTGAACCAGTTAGTCTCTAAAATGTAACCCTGCCCTACCTTCTCCCTGATTTCACACTAACACAGCTAACCTGCCTCTCTTTTAAGTTGAAAGAATTGCCCAAATGTTGCTGCCTATGCATTCAAGTCTCAGGGTTAATGTTCTAAAATTGTGAAGGTACTTTTTTGAAAATATGACCCTACATCAGTTCCTCCCCATAGCTTTATTGTTGCTATTCATGGAGCGTAACAAGTAACAAGACTTTTCTAAAAATGAGGTGAGCCAGTTTAAAAGCTGCGGATGCATTAGGACATGTAAAGACAGCAGATGAAAAGTATGGTGTACACACCAGGATTATGGAGAACTGAACCAGGGGAATAAATTAAGTACAGCAAACCATTTTCAAAGGCCCACTGTTTGGAGTTAAGCACTTTCTAGTGTGACCTATATATTAATTCGGCATTGTCCACATGGCTGGAAATGAAAGAAGCACATTATTCCTTTTGAATGTAATGATACTATAGCAGAAAGTCATCCTTACAAGGTTAAACTAAGTCCTTGTTTTTCTGGCCTATTCTGTTGGCTCACGTCTGTATTTTCCAAACAGACCACGATGACTTTCTTGCTCCAGTTTTAATGACATATCCAGAGGGGTTTTGTATGTTTGTTTTTTGCATGTGTAAAAAAATTTGTTGCATTTGTGTCAAAATGTATTGTAGAGTTGCTGGTTATTCAGGTTCACACGTGTCTCCAGAAAGCTTGTAGCATACAGAGTGGCTATTAAAAATATGAGAGCATATTTGCAGAGCAGAATGAAAAAGGATTCAAGGAGAATAGGCTATGGTGGATCTGTGAGCTAGAGCAAAACACTGTCAACTCCTTGAACAATATATTTGATATTAGACTTTGCTGACTTCCTCTAACTCTGCTTTGACTTGGTCTCCCACAATGTGCTCATGGTAAATTTGGGGAGCTGCGACATCAATAACCCAATTTTTCTGGTGGCTAGGAAACTGGCTCCGGGGCAGGACCCAGAGAGTAATGATAGATAGATAGATAGATAGATAGTCAACATGGCGCTTCGTGACCAGTGGCCTCCCTTAGAGTTCAGTACTCAGACTAGTACTTTTTAACATATTCATTAATGATTTGGATTTGGGTGTTAACAGCAGACTGGCAAAGTTCACAGATGACACCAAATGATGCAGGACTGTGGCCATGCTGGAGAAAAGGCTGAGGATACAGGCTGACCTGGACAGGCTCACAAGGCAGATCAAAACCTGATGATGTTCAATACCGAGAAGTGCAAAGTGCCTCAGCTGGGGAGAAACAACCCACAAAATATTTACAGGCTCAACAGTGCTACACTTATTAGCACCGCAGCCGAAAGGACCTGGGGGGCTTGATAGACCATACAATGAACACGAGGCACTAATACGATGCCGTAGCCAGCAAAGAAAACAAAGCAATGGCATGTATCTACTGATGCATCTCAGACAAGACTAAGGATGTCATCCTCCTGCTTTACTCGGCCTTGGTGAGGATGTAGCTAAAGTACTGCATCCAGTTCTGGGCACTTCACTTCAGGAAGGATGTGGGGACGCTTGAGAGGGTCTGGAGGAGGGCTACACGTGTGGTCCGAGGTATGGAGAGCAGGCCATACAATGAGAGGCTGAGAGACATGGGTCTCTTCAGCCTGGAGAAGAGAAGACTCAGAGGGGACTTGGTGGCAGCTTTTAAGTATACAAGGGGCATATATCAGGGACTGGGAGAACATCTGTTCACCAGGGATTCCCAGGGGAAGACTAGGACTAATGGGCATAAATTGCTAGAAGACCGCTTTAGATTAGACATAAGGAAAAACTTCTTTACAACTTGAGCATCCTGGGTCTGGTGGTACAATTGCCTACTCTGCATATCTTCAAAAACATCTGGACACTCATGTTGCTGGGGTCAGCTGTCCCAAGTGTCTTTCCTGCCCGAGTACAGGGCGGCTGGACCTGGTGATCTTGAGAGGTCCCTTCCAGCCCCTAACATCTATGCATCTCTGCTCTCAGGAACTCACTTCTATTCCAGGGTGGGAGATAGATTCTGGAGTTCAAGCACACCTTCTTGAAGGTGCCACTAATTATGAATATCATAGAAATCAGCTCTGACTGCTGAAATATAGGGGACCAAAGCATTTTGGCCCCCAACCTATGGATGAGCTAAGCCCAGACCATTTTTATGTCTCTACACAAATTCTAGAGCCATCCACACTCCAACCTGTAATGCATTGAGGCTTGTTGCCTTTCAAGGGCAGCTGCTGGTCTGGGGCACAGCAACAAGAAACACTGACCCCCTTCTGGGAACAGCTTCTTGTAAAGCACCTGCCAGTCTCTGCCTTATCTTTCCTCCATCACTGCTTTGCCAGTGTTTCTTGACTGGAAAATGCTAATTGATGTATCCGTGGCCAGATGGGAACAGAAATGGATCATCTTACTCCTCTGCTAGCCTTTCTTCAGGTTCTTTATCATTATTACCAGGGAACTGTAGAAGAGCTGGGGACAAAAAACGTGAATGCAATGAAATGCAATTCACAGTAGTAGTACTCGTGGTAAAACCCAGACTAGACTGATAGGCTGTCTTCACATACCAATACGCATTGCTGCTGAAAAAGAAATCCCCATCTACAAAGCAGCTAGAAACGATAGGCTTCTGACTACTTCCTCAGATAAAAAGAGGTTCAAAGGCTTGTCAGTACTGAGCTACAGAGGCAGGTCTTGTGTATCTGACAGCATCTGTGTGATGGGGGTGGGGGGAGAGGTAGATGAGAGAGAGGAAAGATTAGGCAGAGAGGAAAGGCATGAGGCAGTCAGGCAAAGAGAGATTGAAACACAAATTGATTGAATGACAAGTGATCTGGAAACAGGTACAGATGAGGAGACAGGGGAAGTGAAGGGAAGCAGAAGTTGTGGAACAAATGAGCAGGAAGCATCAAAGGAAAGAACAGGCAGAAGGAAGCAAAGGTACCAACAAAATGAATGAAGATAGAACAAGAGGGGGGTTGGAGGTGGGGGGGAGCAAGGAAAGTTAAATCTCAATTTGCAGTGGAGTACATCATGGTTGGCAAAGCAAGAGGTAAATGCTCTCTGTCTTGCTCGCCAGGGAGAATGTTTGACACAGGTGTTTGCCGCCTTTGCAAGGACGGCCGAGGAGTTATCCGGGGGGTGTGTTGAGGCTGAGCTCAGCTGGAGTGAATGACTGTCAGAGACTTCATTAGGGAAGCAAACTCAACGAGCATCTCTCTTTTTCAGGGATTGGACTGATCTCAGAAACAAGGTGTGATAGGAGCCCTTTAGTTGTTGGTTGTGTTTTTTTTTTTGGGGGGGGGGGGGGGTTGGTTTATTTGAACCTCGAAACAATGGGTGTTTTGATGTCTTCTTCATGCACACCTGATTCTCACAGAAAATACCCAAAGAAACTGAAAGACGAAACCAAACTCATCAGGCAGATGGTGAAGGCTGACAGTTTTTTTTTCCCTTTTACAGTTAATTAAGTTTGCAAGGAGAGGGAGACTAATGGGGGCTTTGCTCTCTTAAAAAAATAGCCTTAAGAAATTTGAAATTTTCTCATGCCGCAACTATGCTCTCATGTTTTATCCTTATTATGTGACCATGTAACTATTACATTAAAGAAGACTGATGCCAAAACTCTCTATTTTAGAGGGGAAAATGGTTTCTTGAGGAAGCATTACACACACAAACACACACACACACACTTTTAATTGAAGACAATGGTCTACCTGAGTGGCTTCTATCAGCCCTGGCCACCATTAGCTCATTTGGCCAGTCTGGTGGGTTAAACTCATCAGATGCTTTATCTATTGTGTCACCACCCTCCCTATGCTGAAACAGTCCCGCTACATTCTTAAACACAAGGGGATACTTGGAGAGAGCTACTGGGTGGCACATGTATCATCCACGAATCCTCAGCCTAGTTTGGAAGGTCTACTAATGCAATAGGAAGATTTTTAACATTCGAGTTCTTATGAAATACTTCATTGAAATGTCCTCTACTCCCTTCATCCCACCCTTCCTACCACTTTAAGAAGAAGGGAAAAGCCACCTTACAATTCCTCACATGGAAGAATGGCTGTTTTATCCCTTCTGGAAGGTCCACCCTTTAGCCCAACCTGAATGCTGGTTGCTTCCAGCCTGCACAGGTATGTTGCTAATGTCCACCATCCCAACTCCTGAATACTTACAAAGTGGAGGCATATTTCATGCTAAAAGTAGACCTAGCTTCCTGGCTCTGAACCAGCTGACCTCTGCAGATGAGAGGGTTCTTACCTGGCTCTAAATTTTATGACTGGCCCTTATATCTATAAAATGGACTGATCCTAAACTGTAACTCTGAGCACTAATATACAGTAAGAGAGGTCAGCTGACCTTTATCATTGGATCATAGGAAAATCAGGCCGGAAGAGACCTCATGAGGTCATGTAGTCCCGTGTTTCCCAACTTTTTCCAGCCCAAGGCACACCTACATGAATAAAAATGTTCTGTGACACACCTGTTAAGGCATTCCCCATCCCCAGACTTATGAACTCATTGTGGCTCATTGCCATGACACAGCTGTTCAGAGCCTCACAAACTGCGCATCCCCCACAGCCAACACATGTGCAGTAGATGAATTTCCTTCTGCTCGGCTGGTTCTCCCTCTCCCCCACAGCCAACACATGTGCGAGTCTTCTGTGAATATCTCATCACTGAGGCTTATTCGTTAGCACTGGGTGGCTGGAGAACTTTCTTCTCTTTATTCTAAAATTCTCATGGCACACCAGGGAGCTTTTCATGGCACGCTGGCGTGCCGTGGCACACCGGGTAAAAAGCACTGATCTAGCCCATCCCCTTGCTCGTGGTGGGTTCATTCCTGATTAAACCATCCCAGTCATGGGTTGTATGAGCCCATCTCTGTTTCACATATAAAATCTTTGTAGGTATAACTATAGCCAGGAAGTGCATCGCTATGGTGACATAGCTGGTGATCATGTGTAGACACACATGATCATTACGTTGCCGTAGTGTGCTGCACAGCAAAGTAGTATGCTGCTACGTCACTGGAGGGCAAGGTGTAGCTGCGCCCTGCTTGTTTTGCATTTTATACATGTGGAACTCCATTTTTTGCTAGACTGTAGAGGAATCTAAAGCAGCAGGATGGGAGGCATTTCAGTATTTAATGGCATTGATATTTAATGCCTTAAATATGCCAATGACCGTTTCATATTTGAAGGATGAAAAGAAACTTGTATTTCTGTCCATCTCAGGCTGTCAGAAGACTGAGTCCAGTGTCTGCAAGCTTGATAAGCAAGTTTGCCACAACATTTTAACTGTTATTAATATTATATGTCTCAATATGAATGTGTAAGCTTTTAAAAATAAGTATATAGGATTCAAAAATCCTGTTAAAGTCAATGAAAAGATACCCATTTTCCCCCAGGGGTTTCTGAATTAAACACATTCAGGTAGTTATTTTGCATTATTTCATTGGTATGAGATTGCACAAAAATTAGTATGATTGCACAGGGATGGTGGGTCACCCTAAGTGAGTCCAATGATATCTTTGTTCAGCATCCCGTCCTCATCCATTGTATATACCTTTTTAACAGAAAACTGTATTTTGTACTTATTTCAGGAAGCCTCTGTTTCTGATATTTTTTTTTTTTTTTTTTTTGCCCTGTAAAGACTCAAGGCAAACTATTTTGAAGGGAAGAAAAAGAAGACATTTGAAAACTTCAGAGAAGCTGTCTAAAATAGCCTATTTATAAAAATTCACAGCTCTATACCGATCTCTTGGCATCCTCCAGTGCTAAAAGCAAGTCAATTGTTGTGCATCCCACTGGAAAATTTGCTAATCTTCTTTTGTAAATTGTAGAAAACTCTAATTCTAGCCATGCAGGCTTGCTACAGCAGAGACTTCAAACAGGTCATTGTTCAAGGTCTGAATATTCTTCATACTGCACCACAGTCTGTGATTATGTTAGTGGAGATTTCATGCTCTGGAGGACAGAAGAAAAGTTTTAGTGATAGGTTCACTTTCCTGGGAGGTGCTCAGTGATTTATAATGCTGGAAGCCATCCTAGCAGCAACTGAATGTGGGAGGAGTATCATAGAATCATAGAAAAAGGTGAATTGGTTAAAGGAGCTTGAGAAATGTCATTTATCAGATGGTTTCTCATTTTGTCACATGGATCACCAGCACATTATAACTGGTGCACAGTGGGGCCTCAGTCCAAATCTAGGCACTATAGCAATATGGCTAAACTAATCCAGAGTAACAATTTAGTGTCATTCACCTTTCCAGGGACATGATTTACATACTTTATTTCACAATGTTAATTTGCATTATTGTTGTTGTGGTTGTTACATTCATTTTTCTGCTCTTCCAAAGAATAAAAAGCAGTCACAGAGGAAAAGAATACAGAATTACAGGCAAGCTTTAGGCACTTAGGCTAAGTACAGACAGTCAAAAAGCCCAAGGCTGAATCGATTCAATCTTTGCAGGTTAGTCTAAACTGCATAGATTGAACTGATAAGCAAGTGAACAGACATTTACTTTTGATTCCAGAAATGCAGCCACATGCCTGCAGAATGGCTCAATCCAGGAGCCGGGGGGTGCTAGAGCATACCTCCCTGCTCTGCTGCAGCAGACAGCTTGGGCCAAGGCTAGCCTGCCCACCCTAGGGGGGGGGGGGGGTGTTGCGAGTGAGGTACAATGCATCCTGGGCTGCTGGAGAAATATGAGTTCATTTGAATCTGGGACAGACATTCAATAAACCAATTTCACCTAAATCAGTTAAGTCTGATACTGCATCCATCCAGGTTTATCTTTAACTGGTTTTGGCCATTTTGAAAGCAGTTTATGTGCACTGAACTTCTGTCGTGTTACAGATCTGAACCAGTTTCTGATCACTTGCATCGGTTTATGTGCAATTTCTGTCCCTAGCCTATGTGGTACTGTGAAATCTAGTGTACTAGTACACTCTTAAAATCATCTACAAAGCATGATTCACTAATAGAATACTTAACCTTAGCTTATTAAAACTAAATTATGCTATAAGTACATGGAGTATACAGGGAGGGAGGGAGGCAAAAGATCAGCCTCTCTGCTCAGAGTAGGGACAAGGGGATAGTCAGCCTGCAGAAGGTTGCCAACCTTTGATATGCAGTGTTCATACTATTTAATTCTTAAGCAACCTCCTATTTTTAAAAATCACATAAGAAACCTTATCTTGTTTCCAGTGAAGCCTGTGGCAAAGTATTTATGTGTCTATACATACTCGTGGGCATGGATTGATAGATTTTAAGGTCAAACAGGACACAGTAGGTCTTCTATTCTGACTTCCTTTATAACAGGATACATATAATTGTATCCAGCTACTCTTATATTGAGCTCAGTGATTTGTGTTTGAATACAGCATGTCTCCTAGGAAGGCACAGCCTTAACACGAAGAGCTCAAGAAGAGGCAGAATCCACTTATGGCCTTCATAGTTTGTTCCAGTAGATAGCATTAAAAATCTGTCCTTGTTGCTTGGTATGTTTAATGATATATTCAAATAAAACCCAGAAAAAATAATGAAACTCTGTAAGATGAAGAAAGAGCTTGATGGAACTTGGTAAATTTTCATCCTCAAATTATGGTAGATGCTAAATGTACACCATGACATGGTTCTACATTGAAACATTAAACACTTGCTTTTCTGCCTTTCTTTTTTTAGACTCTCTCATTAAAATAACTGGGATATGGAGGAGCAAAATAAATAAATGTACAAGAACTTAGAAGCCAAAAAAATGCACCGTTCACAGATGACTCAAGGGGAGAAAACGCACATGTATAACGGCAATTTTCATGCCAATGGAACAGAGTACCAACTAGTTTAGACTTACAGAGGTCTGGAGGGGTTGCAGCTTTTTGTGCATAGAAATAGGTAATAGGTAAGTCTGACAACAATGCATTTCATTTATAGACTCTCTCATGGGTGCTGTGGTACCCAACAGTTTCCCATACTCAGCTTACTACAACTCCTGTACCAAAGAAGGTGGGGGAAGTTAATGCAGCACATTAAAAAAAAATGCTTGCATTGGTACAACTATATTCCCCACTGCCTGAACAGTCTTTGCTTAGAGAATAAGGTTGTCTGGGAGCCAGGAGAGAGAGCCATTCTGGAAGCCCACTGCTTTAAGGGAATGTGGAAACCACGCTATAGCCACACACGATCATCCAATTTAGAGCCCCGTGGCTACATCATTTATTGTAGAGGACAGCAGCATTGTTAGGTCCTGGGGCAGGAACTGTCTCTTCACGTATGCCTTGGTAGCACTTAGTGCAGCAGTCTCACCTGGGGCTTCTAGGCATGACAGCAATGCAAATAAAAATAATGAGGCCCCAGTCCTGCTGCGCTGATGCCCATGGACATTGTGCTATTGACTTGGAAATGGGTCAGCGCCCCGGTGAGAATTATAACCGTTTTCTTATAAGGCAATTCTGACAACCCAATAATACGCCAAGCATGGAAAGTGCAGGCTTGCTTGCATAATGGAATATCAGGGCAAGGCATATATACAATAATTATTTAACAAAAAATAGCAGCACGAAAATAGGCTGGATTGTAAATGAGCTACATAAAATTAACAGACCCAGGTCCTATTGAGAATGTATGCTCTGAATATTTCTAGCTATATTTACAGAAGAACTCTTGTTTCTCGTCCTCCAGGCTTTAAAGTTATTAACCTACTCATTATGCCAAATATATTTTGTATAAGAGATAACATAAACCTTCCTTCATTTAAACGGATTACTAGAATTAAATACTACATTTCAACAGAATTTAAAAGGAGCACCAAAGCAAGATAATACTTCCACCTATGTGGCAGAGAATCATTTATTAAATTCTGCCTATGAAATAGCTATAGATTCCAGCTTAAAATGTACAAATCATTAGAGCTGACAGCAGCAGTCTTTAGAAATGATCCAACTGGGTTTAATGTGAAAATAATTTGTGTAGCTAGCTATTACTCTGTACATCAAGCACTCAGGTTTTAGTTCTGTTGGGTTATTAAAAACATCTCTAAACTAAGGTGCCAGATTTACTGTAATAATATTAACAGCTCTCATTATTGTGTCACAGCACTGGACTATACAACGTATTTTCAAGGAAGGAGATAAGCCCCATAAAAGCATATTTGTGGCTTGCAGAGAAAATAATTCCCTCCAGGTGGTAGCATCACTTTCTTCCAATGATCCATATTATGAAAAGGTAACATTTGGAATATAACCTGGTTGTCTTGACAAATGGGATCCATTACTGAACGGTGTGAATTATGGGTGTGAATTAAATACAAAGAGTCCAGAAGGTAGCTGAAAGCCTATAAGAAACATGTTTCTGTGGCCAAATCTGGTTGTCCTAGCTGGTTAAAAATAGCGGCAGGTTCTTTAGGGCATGCCTCCCAGAATCTATGCAGGCTATCCCAGCTTCCTTCCCCTTCATGAGCAGGAAGGATTCAAGTAAAGCAGTGGTGTCACTGGTCTCATTACACTATACCCAATGCAAGGCCTTTGTATAAAAATTACCCATGCTAATGCTTCTGTCAGCAGCAGAGCAGCTGAGTGTTGTCATAGATGTCCTCTAAAGAAGGAGAATTGCTTTAACAGTTCTGGAATACACTGCTGCACACTCAGGTGTAAGCTTGCCTTTCTGCAGACCAGGGCCGGACATAGGCATGGGCAAAATGGGCATCTGCCTGGGGCCCGAACAGAAAGGGGGCCCCAAAATGGTGAAAATAATGATTATTATTATCATTATTTCTGGTGAAGGGGGGCCCAATACTAAAAGTTTTTCCAGGGCTGCTAGGAGTCTAGGTACAGTGCTGCTGCAGACACCCCCAAAATGCTCTGTGAAAAATCTGCTGCTGTGCAGAAGTGCTAAACCGTGGAGCCTGCCTGCCTCTCCCATGGCTGGGGGCTGAGCTGCCGGCTGGGACCAGGTAAGGAAGGGCAAAATGTATCCCGGTGTGTTTTTCAATTGTTACTGCTCTGGGAGGAAAACTGAGAGCAGAATTTTGCTCTCAGCTTAACTCTGACGGACCATTTCTTGCTTGGGTGTTATTTGTTTTATAAGCACCTAGATCTAAAACTGCACTCTCCAGTTCGGGTGACTTCCTATATTCATGTATTGATTTATTCCCACCTCTAGCTCATTTGTTCCAGCTTCTATAGCAGCTCATCCTCTTGCCATAGTAAATTTTAGATGCCTTGGAGTAAAATGTACCTACTCCTTGCCAAGTGCTGATAGAAAAGTCCTTTGCTATTCTATGTCCAAACATAGCCTTGCTTATCTAGGAGAGTGGCTTTCATCCTCTGCTGTCTGATGGGCTGTGACAATTTCCTTCGCATTTCAGGTGATGAACTGCAGTACACGTGGTATCCAGAAATAGCCTGACTGCCTTCCAGCAAAATGTTATTGCCCTGATAAAACTAATAAAAATCCCAATAGTGGTCTCCCCGCTGTAGATTCTACCTCACACTTAAGGTGAATGTACATCCGAGGTTGTAGGAACAGCCATCTGTTCAACCTACATCATGCCAGTATTGAAGGGTATTAAATTACTCGGACAATCTAATTTCAGTAATTTACGGAGCTGGTGGCCATCAATAAGAAATGTGCTGGAGTAAACATGAAAGAAAGAAGACGATGCTAAGGTCAGCCATGTGATATCCTCCTTCGTAAGGTGTATGTGCTACAGTGCTCTTTGGTATCTTGTACCTCTTTTAGCCGGGTGATAAATATTTGAACCAATCACTTTATGTTGTTTTTTTCTGTGGAAAGCAAAATCAATCTTGAAGATGGGCTTTGTTCTGGAGCCTACATCCAAGTTGGCCTGCTTCTTACATTTCAAACGAATAAAAATTTAAAGACTGCAGACCAAATCCTTCTTTTGGTGATGTTGGTGCAAAGGTAGAATGACCCCATTAAAGTCAGTTAAATTACTCTGGAATTGAGCCAGTGTAACCCAGAAGAGGTTTTGCCCTGCTTAAAGAATAAGTGGTATATCTAATTCAGTTTGCAATGGTATAACTTTGAAGGGGACAGTCTAAACCTAGACAGCAAAAAGCCAGCCCAGGAAACCTTACAGGCCCATCTCAAGTGGGCTGAGCATGGAGACAGGACATCTCAATCTGCCTCTGCTATTCACTTACTGCCAACCTCATGTCTCTTAGCTTCAGGTTTCTCATCTGTTCACAGCAATACAGATGGACTGTAGGGCTTAATTAGTTCATATTTGCACAATGACACATCACAGCTGCTGGGAAAACAGGACTCTTAGCAGGCTGTTGTGCTTGGATTGCACCTATATGATCTAAGCTCCATGAATATGAATAGGCTGTGGCACTCTGGTTGGTCTCTTTGGCTCACTTCTAGGCACTTCCATGGAAATAGCACTCTATATTCCAGCCAACCTAAGCCTGGTGAACCATGGCATCACCATGTACCTGTGCACAATGTTTTTTTGTGTCAGTTTTTTTGAGTGTGGCAACTTAGACCACCTCTGATGTATTTTAGTTTGGTCATGGCAAATTGTCCCATTATGGACAAAGAAAATCTGTCATATGTACATGTCCAGGAAGGCAGCACAGGGCGGCTGGGTGTGCTGGTAGCTGGAGAAAGCAGCAGGGATGGCACACGGGATGCTGGAAGCCTGGGCAGGCTTGTGGAAGCTGAGGCTGTGGGTCCTTTACTAAATGGGGGATGCAGCGTAGTGACAGAGGATGCAGAAAAGGCTGAAGTGCTCAGTGCCTTTTTCATCTCAGTCTTCACAGGCAAGGTCAGCTCCCAGACTACTGCACCGGGCAGCACAGTTTGGGGAGCAGGTGACCAGTGAACTGTGGCAAAACAGGTTAGGGACTATGTAGAAAAGCTGTACATGTACAAGGCCATGGGGTCAGACTGGATGCAACCAAGTGTACTAAAGGAGTTGGCCAATGTGATTGCAGAGCCATTGGCCATCATCTTTGAAAACTCATGGTGATTGGGAGAGGTGCCAGACAACTGGAAAAGGGGAAATATAATGCCTGTCTTTAAAAAAGGAAAGGAGGAGAATCCAGGGCACTACAGACCAGTGGGGGCCTCACCTGAGTTGCTGGAAAAATCATGGAGCAGATCCTCAAGGAATCCATCTCGAAGCACTTGGAGGAGAAGAAGGGGATTAGGAACAGTCAGCATGGGTTCCCCAAGGGCAAGTCATGCCTGACCAACCTGACTACCTTCTATGGTGAGATGACTGGCTCTGGATGCAGGAAGACCAGTAGATGTGGTATACCTTGACTTTAGCAATGCTTTTGATATGGTCTCCCACAATGTTCTTGCAAGCAAGCTAAGGAAATATGGGTTGGATTAATGGACTGTACGGTGGATAGAAAACTGGCTGGATCATTGGGTTCAGAGGCTAGTAATCAATGGCTCAATGTCTAGTTGAGCCATTGTCATGCTGATATCATGTGGAATACTCCAGGGGTTGGTTTGGGGCCAGTTTTGTTCAATATTTTCATCACTGACCTGGAAGATGGGATAGAGAGCACGCTCAGCAAGTTTGGAGATAACACCAAGCTGGGGGAAGTAGAAGATATGCTGGAGGGTAGGGCCAGGATTCAGAAAGAATTCAACTAATTAGGCAATTGGATCAAAAGAAATCTCATGAGGTTCAGTAAGGAGAAGTGCAAAGTCCTGCACTTAGGATGAAACAATCCTATGCAGCAGTACAGCCTGGGGACTGACTGGCTAAGAAGCAGATCTGCAGAAAGGGACTTGGGAGTTACAGTTGACAGTAAGCTGAATGTGAGCCAACAGTGTGCCCTTGTTGCGAAGAAGGTTAATGGCATACTGGGCTGCATTAGTAGGAGCATTGCCAGCAGATCGAGCGAAGTGATTATTCTTCTCTGTTCAACACAGGTGAGGCCACATCTGGAGTGCTGGGTCCAGTTTTGGGCCCCCCCACTACAGAAAGGATGTGGACAAATTGGAGAGAGTCCAATGGAGGGCAACAAAAGTGGTGAGGGGGTTGGGGCACATGACTGATGAGGCGAGGCTGAGGGAACTGGGCTTATTTAGCTTGCAGAAGAGAAGACTGAGGGGGATTTAATAGCAGCCTTCAAGTGCCTGAAAGGGGATTCAAAAGAACATTGGAGATGTGTAGGGGATGTATGTGGGTGCATGTGCACCCCCAGAGATCAGCCGTGCACCCCCTCGAAGTGCCAGCTGCGAAACTGGAAGTGATGGCAGAAGTTCACTTCCAGCTTTGCCGGTGGCTAGGCGATTGGCCACTGGGGCACCCCTCTCCCCTCCCCCGCCTCCCCATTCGGTGATTGGTCATGGGAGGGACCCTCCTTCCCCCCCCCCCCATTAGCGATTAGTGGTTGGATCCTGCCCCCATTGGCAATCTGGTACCCACCCAGACTTGGGAGGCACCAGTTGCCCATGCAAAAGAGAATGGAGCTAGACTCTTCTTGGTGGTGGCAGATGACAGAACAAGGAGCAATGGTCTCAAGTTGCAGCAAGGGAAGTTTAGATTAGATATTAGGAAAAGTTTCTCTTGCCGAAGGCAGTAAAGCACTGGAACAGGCTCCCCAGAGAGGTGCTGGACTCTCCATCCTTGGAGGTTTTTAAGACCTGGCTAGACAAAGCCTTGGCCGGGATGATGTAGTTGGGGCTGGGGCTGGGGCTGGTCCTGCTTTGAGCAGAGGGATGGACTAGCTGTGACCTCCTGAGATCCTTTCCAACCCTAATTTTCTATGATTCTATGACACATGATAGCGGAAGAAAACCGATATGAAGATTTTGAAAAGGGTTTCAAGACCAATCTCTCTTTACTTAGGATAGCACAATACATAAATCAAGGCCAAATAAATTTCTTACTCTGTTTCTGTTTCCTCACCTTCCATTTAGCTCTATAAAGTCTATAAAGTAGAGGATCCTCCTTCTTAGTAAATTCAATCAACTGTGGAGGGGAACGGGAGGAGAGCAAAGGGAGGAAATTACCAGGGCCTGTAGTGTGAGAGAAGAAAAGTAGCTGTCTATATACAGGTATGTAAAAGCATGCAAAAGTTTAAAAAATGTAGCAGAAATGTAAAATTTATAGCACTGATCCTTCTTCCCACCTACTTACAATGATGGCAACTTCATATTTGAGTGCCCCCAATATAATTTAGTAAGTCTGTTCTCAGTTAGGTATCATCTAATGTGAGAATAGAAGAATTGGACCCTAAGTTTGCATAGCTTCTTCCTTAACAAAAACACGAGCAACCACACCTCCTTGTAGACTGCAGACTCACCATACAAATGTTATAGCAGCAGTGCATGCAGTCATGCACACAAGTGACCATCATGGTCACATATTGCTATGCTCTTTCTTTTTTGTCACATTTTCCTGGTGAACACATCTGCCATGGAAATACGACAAAATTGCTACCCCCTGGCACTACTTTGTAGCATCGTGTTTGCAATGTCATAAAACATTTATGATTAACACTTGATTTTTATATGGTCATTAAGTGAAAGGAACACACTGCCAGGGAAGAGAGCAAATACATATTTTAGTAGCATTGCAACTTGACCCCCCGTGGTTTGCCATTCTCAGCTCAAAGTTTTTCAAATGAGACTAAAACTCACCAAGCACTTTTATCTCCTTCCAGTTAGCAATTGTCATTTCTTTGGTTTTAATGTTTATGCAATGAAAGAATGGACATCAGTGTGTAGGGGGATATGGGAAATGGGCAGCCTTAAATTTCAGTGTCACCTGTGCAATGATTTCCTTCAGATAACCTTAATTTAACCAAATAGTTATGCACGTATTCAAGCCTCATTGGCTCCACATAATTTTAATCATGTGCTTAAAAGAGCAGGGCCAACACTAGCTGATTAAAAAAAAAAAAAGTCATGAGACAAGTGATCCATAATTAGAAGACTGACTTAGAAATCAAATAATTTTTAAAAATTGGGTGGACTTTTTGTTTGCTTTCTGACTACAGATCGTGTAGAGCAGGGGTGGGCAACTATTTTGGGCGGAGGGCCACTTACTGAGTTTTGGCAAGCCATCAAGGGCCGCATGACAGGCAGCATGGGGCAGATTAATATTAATTTTCTAAATTTTTTAAGGGCCCTGCAGTCCACATAGAATGGCCTGGCGGGCCACATCTGGCCCACCCTTGATGTAGAGTGCACTCAAGTCAGAGTCTCAGTCTTTTGTCCACAACCGGAAAGGCTTTTTAATAATAACCTGCTTCCAGAAACGGGGATTTCATGGACGAAGTCTCCAACTTTTAGAAATGGCCAAATCTCATCAGAGTTAGGTTCCATCTTGTTCAGAAATGTGTAAACTTTCATAGATGGCAGCCTGCTTCATCAGATGCTATGAATGGACTTGAAGAGAGCAGGCCTGGAAGACAGTGAAGGTTGGGAACACTGTTTTAAATGTGTGTTTTGTTGCATCAAAGCCTTGAAGCATGAAATCCATTGAATAATGCTAAGTTGCTGTAACCAAGATGACCCTTCTTGGCAGGACAGCTGGAATTTTAAATCTCTTGGGCTAGAGCTATTTTGTTAGCAACGCCAAATTTTACCTTTTCAAAGAGATCTCCAGGGGAAGTACTTGGCCAGCTACACCGTTCATCATAAATTCTAGAAATTTAGGAAGTAGACCATTTTATTCCAGCATTGAAACATTTTTCTAAGTTTCCGGTCTGATTGAATGTTGACAGCAGAGTGCGTGAACTGTTGGAACATTAAATAACCTCTCAAGAGAAAAATGCTTGTGGGCTCTACTAAAATAATCAGATTTTAAATTCATGCCCAATCTTTTCTCTGAATTACCATAACTGCATTGCCTCGGGTTTAAAGATTAACGGCTACAAAGTAATAGGGGC